AAAAAAAAAAAAAAAAAACGCCCCAGGCACCTCTTCGGCAGTTAAGGTGTGTGCTTGATGGGAGAGTGGTAATGGCTGAAGGGCAGCGATAGAACTCCGCGTGTTTTCAAGACTATACAACAGATAAGACGTTCATTTGGATTTTGCGGAAGCACAGCTTTGCAGATTCACAGATTCGCAGAATGAGTAAGCGGGTAGGCAGTTGGTGGGTGGATATGTTTCCGGAGCGAATTCCAAAGCAAAAAAAAACACAAGTTCCTATATAGTTCCAAAGGTTTCTGGTTTTCAAGATTTCTGGCTTCCAAGATTTCCAGAATAGAAGTTTTCCCTCCAGATTTCCAGTTCCAGATTTCCAGAGTAGAAGTTTTCCAGTTTTCCAGAATTGCAGATTTCCAGATTTTTCTGGCCGTAACTTTGCAGATTTACACAATCAGGAAATCTGGAAAACCTCTATTCTGTAAATCTGGAAACCTTCTACTCTGGAAATCTGGAATTCTGGACATCTGGAAATCGGGAAATCTGGAAGACTCTTTCTAGTTTGAAAACAGGACTGGTCTTGGGCATATTCGGCCTAGACAGAATATTGATATTTGATTTGTGGTATGCAATAGAGCTTCGCCCAAACTATAGGGCTGCATGTGTGCCGCCTCCTGGATAAACATGGAGATTTGGAAAATGTAGAAAGCTAAGGACAAGGCTATTTTGCGCTCTGATCATCGTGTTGGTTTCGAATTTTGCGTTTAGCAAGGGTCTGATACTAAACTTGCCCACACACTACTAACCGCGTGTATCTATGTAAGGGCATCGAGCTAGGTAAAATTTAACACAAATTCCATGATTGAAAAACAGGAGCCCGAGAATCGGGGATTTCTTGTGTCAAGAGCCCAGGAAGAATTCTTCTCGAGGTTTGAAAAATATCTATACGGAGAGCAACACAAGCAAAGCATAGGAGCACAGGACCTGAGAATTCCTAAGATCAAAAGATAATTGAATAGATAACTTAGATGTAGAAAATGAGAAGACCAGGATGTGAGAATTTTGTTTCACACTAGAAGCACACTTAGCAAGGGGTTCATAAAAGCAAAAACAGTGGCCCTAGATTTGAGAACTCCTTTTGAAAGTGAAGCGTGTTGAGTTTCCCATCGAAAACAGGTGCCCAGTCTTTGAGAATTCAGCACTCCTTCCAGGTCTGAAGCACGATTAGGAAGGGTTGGTTTTTCAGAAAAACGGAGCCAAGGATGTGTGACTTTTTTGTATGTTAAACCTGAATCAGAGACATGTAGCAAGGGATTTATACTCAGAAAAGGTGCCCAGGATCTGAGAATTCCTTTGCGAATTAAAACACACTTAGTGAGTGTATTCTGAAAGAGAAAAAAGGAGACCAGCAGCAGAGCATTACCCAGTACATTCGTAGCCAATCTAGTGGAAGGGTTTCTTGGAGAAAAGAAAGAGCTTCTTCTTTAAAGTCGAAGCCACTTCAGTAGAGGAATCATATACAGAAATTCCGGAGCCGCGAACCCAAAAAGTTCCTCTTGAATTGGAAGCATATTTAGTGAGGCATTTTGTTTATATAAACCAAAGCAGGAGCCGAGGATTTGAGAATTCTTCTTTAAATTCCAGAACATATGGTAAGAAAATATCTAACAGAAAATAAAAAGCCAAACGCTCGAGAATCCCTATTCAATTTTGACGCACGTT